AAAAAAAGAAAAGAAAATTGTTTATATATTTTCTGTGAATTTCTTTCATATCACTTTAGTGTTGAAAATGACCTATTGAAAGAGGTCAAAAACTTTACTGCATATATATTTTGATTTTAAATAATTATAATTGATGAATTAGCTTATCTCGCAATTTAGTAAAATAATATGAACTACTCTGAATCTTTTAAGCAAGACTATTACAACATTAGCAAGATATCAAAAACTGTACCTTATTTGTTGTTTTCTTTTTAGTTGAACAACTCTTTATTAAAAGATTAGTCTGTACTCAATGTCATAATATTTTATCCCATAATGATAAAAGATGTATCAATTGTAATTCACTCAATGATAAATCAATTGCTAGTATATTTGATGTTAATCAACCGTTAGTATTTGCACGCATGTTAGATCGTCTTTCATCAGATATTGAAGATAATCGGAAACAAATTATTGTCAATCATTTATCACCACACAATAACAATGATATTATGTTTAATCAAGTCTATAAAGAACTTCAAAATAATTACTGTTCATCACCATTTATTTCATTATTTTTACACTTAGACGGCATTAGTTTATGTAAATCAAGTAAACTTACATTATGGTTGTTCAGTTGTAGTTTTATTGAACTTCCTGTTCATCTACGGTATCACCGCTTTAACATGGTTATTCTTTCAGTCTGGGTTGGTCATCAAGAACCACTTATTGATTTATGGTTATCTGAATGTTTAAATCAACTGAAACATCTTAAGAATAAAAGTATTTATGAACTTTTTTCAGTGATAAGATTTACCAAACAACAATATTAAATGCAGTGCATAGAGTTGAGATTAGTCGTAAAAAGAAAGTAGTTCTTCGAAACCAATCGATTTTAAAGAAAATAAGTCAATTCATTCATCAGGAAAATTTTTTCTTGTATAATATAGCATAATATTGCTCAACAACTGTTGAATAATTTTTTGCATCAATTTTTGCTAACCTGAGATATTATTACATTTCCAAAGTAAGTTCTTATTTTAATAATTTTTTATTTTTAGATGATTTATAAATAAATTTTATTTTTATTTATAGATGATTTATAAATTTTATTTTTATTTTTAGATGATTTATAAATTTTATTTTTATTTTTAGATTATTTATATATTTTATTTCTATTTTTAGATGATTTATAAATTTTATTTTTTTTTAGATGATTTATAATTTTTATTTTTAGATGATTTATATATTTTATTTTATTTTTAGATGATTAATATATTTTATTTTTATTTTTAGATGATTAATATATTTTATTTTTATTTTTAGATGATTAATATATTTCATTTTTATTTTTAGATTAATAAGAAGGACAAATCAAAATAAAAGTGTTAATATTAATTAATGCGGGTGCCCAGCCCGGTTGGAGGTTTCATTTCTTTTTTCCTGATGCAGCTCCAATGATATATCAAATAAATATTAATGTTTTAAAATATAACTTTTAGAACATTAATATTTATTTGATATATCATTGGAGCTGCATCAGGAGAAAAGAAATGAAACCTCCAACCAGGCTGGGTACCCACATTAATTAGTTTTTGTGTTATTTTGAGAGCGGAGGGGAACGGGGGGGGAGGGAGGGCAAATTGAAAAACCTTATGTGGAATACGGTAACAAACGACATTGTATACGACCGTTTACGATCGTTTACAGTGGTCGTATAGACGTCGTATTTCGCCGTATACGACACGACGATATACGGTCGTAATTCTGGCGTCAAGTAATACGGCGAAATACGGTCGTATACGATCGTAATGTACGCCGTATACGACCGTACACGATCGGATACGCCGTCGTATACGATCGTTTACGACTGTCGTAATCCTCGTCCTGGGT